AAAAAAAAAAAAAAGAAAAGAAAATAGAAAATATATGTAAAGAATATACAGCAGTGTCTGGAACATAGTACTCAATAAATAATAGTTCTTACTATTAATACTCCTATCCTCTCATTTTATGGAAATAGAGACTGGGACCCAGAGAGGGGAAAGGGATCCGCTCAGGTCATGCAGTAATTTAGTGATAACTTGGCTAGAACTCTTCATTTCATAACTTGCAAGAATTTAATTGCACCAACTGCCAGAGGATGCAAACATTAACAATAACTGATATTCTTTTTTATTTTTAAATTGTTTTAGAGACAGTATCTCACTTTGTTGCTTGGCTGGAGTGTAGTGGCATAGTCATAGCTCACTCCAGCTCTGAACTCCTGGGCTCAAGAAATCCTCCTGCCTTAGCCTTACAAGTAGCGCCAACTACACACGTTTTCTAAGCTAAGCTTTTCTTTACTACACACGTTTCACGTTTTTCACCCAGGGTGAGGAGGTCAACATCGGAGTATAGTTCAAAAAAGTATAGTTCATATTATATGCTTTAAATTTAAAGTCATTTTTCAAAAGCTGTTGTTTCCGGAATACTATCTGTATTAATCAAAGTGAGATGGAATCCTCTTGGTTGGTAGAACATGAATTAAGATAGATCAGAAACCCTACTGTCTGCTATGAGTGGCTCTGAGAGGGCTGGGGAGGAGGAGAGAGAAATTGACCCCTTGGGACTCCTCAGGTTTCCTGCTGGAATCTAATTGCCAAGTCCCCACCTTCCTGCGGGGCGGGAATCTGCTGACCTGATCCCAGTTAGGCCACGTGTTTGTCTCGCCACCCCCCATTCAATACAAAACCCACAGCAACTGTGGGAGGGGACAGCATCCTAGGCTCAGGCTGGGTCTGTGCCAGCCATTGAGAGAAAGTGTCCCCCACCCCCAGGCTTCACACTGACAGAAGACTGGAACCAGAGCACTCAATAGCCACAGGACAAGCTGGCTTGTTTTTCTACCCTCTTCTAATACTGCATTTATCACAATTCCCTAGACACCGTTGAGTTCTTTGCTTCCAGACATTCATTATTTGGCATCTAATTTCCACAGCTTTTTGTGCTGGCAGGCATCTGGGTGGTCATTTTTCCTGCTGTTCCTCCCTGCTGCTGCCCTGCCCTGCTCAGCCCTGTGTTTCTCCAGCTGTGCAAACAGGGTGGGGCCCTCTGCAGGGCTGCTCCTGAGGTGTTCTGTGCGAACCTCGGGCTAGGCACTCTCGGGAGGACAGGCAGATGCCTAGCCCCTGCCCTCTGAGAATTCTTAGGAGCAGGGAGCCAGGGAGCCCACTCTGGGCACTGAGGGGACAGTGCCCGCTGCTCTCTAGGCGCTCTGGGGCACTCAGCAGGGAGCTCAGGGAACAGATGAGGGGGCCAGGGTGGGGATGCACATGGAAAATTTATTAGGCACACACAAAGATGTGCTAAGATACAGCTCTAACCTCAGTGCCCAGAGCGGAGGTGACTTAGGATGAGAGAGCCACCCTGTATTTCCACCTCGGAGGTGCTGGCCCCATTTGCAGTTGAGCTTCACCCCCATCTTCGGTGGGGTGGAGAGGGTCTTATACATTCTGTTGCTTGGCCAAGTCTGTCACCTCCCACAAGCAAAAGCTTCACCTCATTAAATTTTTCTTGAGACCCAAATACTTCCCCTTTCTTTAGGGGAGGTAAAAGGGGACCTCTTCTTGGAGAGTCTTCACTGCTAATGGATATAGCAGACCCTGGCTGGAAACATGATCCGTGCGAGGAACTATTTCCTCCGCGTGCTGACTATCTGAGTTAGTCAGACCTGGCGATGAATTGGCTGGGGGGCCGGGTAGCGGGCTGAATTGAATGTTCTCCTTGTTCTCTCTCTCTCTGTCTCTCTCCGCCCTCCTCCCTCCTTCCCTCTCTCCTTCCCTCTCCATGCCCATGGAGAGCTCTCATCATAGACAGATATTTTAAAAGCACCTCCTGCATTCATAGCTCATTATTCTGCACAAAACAGGCGAGGAAGATGCAAAGCTGGACACACCCGGAGGGTGGAGGGGAGATGGAGCATTTTCATTTTTGAATCATGCAGCTCTAACCCTAGCCTTGGACCACAGACGTGTGCTGTTGGCCCCAAGGGCAGGTTTGCCAGGGCAGGATTTGCCCAGTGCAAACCCACTCCCATCTGTGAAGAGAAGGCAAAACTCACATCCTCTAGGCTGGAGAGGAGGGAGAGAAGAAGGAGAACGATGATAGCAGGATAGCAGGGCAATCTATGTATTCAAAGTCCAGGGTGATTAACTACTGACTCTTACTCCTGAATCACTTGGGATAGGCTGGGGGGCAGATATAGGCTGGATCTGTGGAGATCATAAACAGTTCTAGCACCCAGCCTAGCTTGTAGCCTCATATCAGATTCCTGCTTACCTCCCACGTCACCAGCTTCCCTTCAACTCCTGACTTCTTGTGATGTCCCATTCTCTGAAATCTCCTTGGCTCCTGACAATGGCTTGATATTCCTTGGCCTCCCAGGTGTAAGCTCCCCAAACCTTCACCAGTCTGCCACAGCCCTTCCCCCATTCATCTCCCTAGTGTGAAATTCAGGACTTTTGAAATTCCAATGGTTTGATTTATTAGTATCCTGAAGCCTGGTAGTTAAACAGGCAAATGGCTGGTTTGTTTGGAATTTAAGGAGAAGAATAATTTGTGGCCTGCTAAGTTCCCTCCCCTTTAGCTAAAAATGTTCTCACTGAAAACTCAAGCAATCTGGAAGGAAAAACCAAGGGCCCACACAAGTCTTGCACAGCCTCACCTCTGGGACACACATCTGCAGCATCCACACAGGGGGGTGTTGGGGTCCGGCAGGGAGAAGTGGTGGGGAAAAGAAGAAATTTGTTTGACAAGAGGCCACTGTCCCTTTTAAAAGTTTTTAAATAGACCTTTCATTTTTATTGCAAAAACTAGACATGTTCTACCTAGAAAACTTAGAAAATACAGAAAAGCATAAAGAGATGAAAACCACACATATTGTTGAAGTGTTCCTTTCTCTCCACATCCGCACCAGCATCTGCAGTTTTGGGACTGCTGGTGGGACCGCAAACTAATACAACCTTTTTGGAAGGAAGTATGGAGAAACCTCAAAGAACTCAACCTAGACCTCCCATTTGATCCTGCAATCCCATTACTGGGCATCTATCCAGAAGGGAGAAAAACAACAACAACAACAAACCTTTTATTATAAAGACACTTGTACCAGACTGTTTATCGCAGCTCAATTTACAATCACTAAAATGTCAAAACAGCCTAAATGCCCTTCAACCGAGGAATGGATTGGCAAGCTGTGTATACCATGGAATACTATTCAGCCATTAAAAAAATGGAGATTTTACAGCATTTGTATTAACCTGGATGGAGGTGGAACACATTATTCTTAGTGAAGCATCATAGGAACGGTATTCGACTTTGATATGAGGACAATGACACGGTGGGGCATGGGGGAAGGGGAGAGCAAACAGAGAAGGATGGAGGGGGTGAGGGAAAATAAAATAAAATAGTGACTAATTTTCACATAAATTGGATTTAATTTTGACCAAAGTACATTACTTAAACATTAATTTTTAATTCAACTTGTTAATATGTTATTTAGGATATTGCATCCTCATTTATAAGTGAAATATATTTGTAATTTCCCTTTGTAATAATATATTTTTTCCAATTTTAGTATCAGGTGTATCCAGATGAAGTAGAATGATTTTGAAGTATTTCTTCTTTTTTCTATTCCCTATAAGATTTGGCATGATCTATTTTTTGAAACTATCCTTTATTTTTATTTATAAATATTGTCTATTTTTTGAGAATTTGGGGAAAAAATAAGAAGTTAACTGATGACTCCATACTGAACCTCAGAGTCAAAGCATTCTATAATAGACATACTTTTATTTGACAATGTGAATGTTACTTTTTTTGCATTATTATTATTATTGCTCAATAAAAAAAATTTGCACAAGAAGGAAGAAGAAAAAAGAAAACCACACATATTCCTACCACTCAGTGATAATCATTAGCAAAAGTCTATTGGATTTCCTCCTAGTCTTTTTTCTAGGCATAAGTATCCCTCTTCATCACTGTCTGTAATATAATTTCTTTTTCTGATGGTAAAAGCAATGTACATGCAAGGTAATTTTTTCTCAAGTAACAGAAAAAAGGGGCAGTGTGCAGTGGCTCATGCCTATAATCCTAGCACTTTGGGAGGCCAAGGTGGGAGGATCACTTGAAGTCAGGAGTTTGAGACCTGCCCAAGCAAGAGTGAGACCCTATCTCTACAAAAAGTAGAAAAATTAGCAGGGCATGGTGATGCATGCCTATAGTCCCAGCTACTCGGAAAAGTGAGGCAGCAGGATTGCTTGAGCCCAGGCATGTGAGGTTGCATTGAGCTATTATGATGCCACCGCACTCTACCTGGACAAACAAACAAACAAAAAGTAACCGAAAAAAAATTAGAGGAATAAAGTGAAAACCACTGCAGTTCTACTGATATGACTACAGTTGGTATGTTGGTATAGTTCCTTTCAGTCTTCCATCTGAGGCCACGCAGTCTGTGTACTTCCATATGCTTTTCCCTTCATGTGTTACCATGTACATGTGTTACCATGTACATTTCCCCATGTCAAGAAACATACACCTGAAGCATGATGTGCAAGGACTGCATTGTCCCTGTGTGAATGGACCATAACTTATCCTTTTGCTTTTCAGGAGAGACTGGTTTGGGCAAATCCACCCTCATGGACACTCTGTTCAACACCAAGTTTGAAGGGGAGCCGGCCACACACACACAGCCAGGTGTCCAGCTGCGGTCCAACACTTATGACCTCCAAGAGAGCAACGTGGGGCTAAAGCTGACAATTGTTAGCACAGTGGGCTTTGGGGATCAGATCAACAAGGAGGACAGGTAAGGATGGAGTGGTGTGGGGAGGCTGGAGGGGAGCTACAGGGAGGAGCTCACTATGTAGGCTGAGCCCCTAGCGTGTCCTCCCGTGTCCTTGTCTATAGCAACTGTTCCACTCCACACGCTTGGCCAAAAGAAGGGTGCCTTTCCAGCATCTATGGGTGGGGTCTCAATTTCTTTCAGCAAACCTTTATTGAGCTTCTACCTTGTGCCAGGGACTGCTGTACTGACAATCTAAAAAGGAACAGCTTAGTCTCTGCCCTTGAGGCTTTCCTGGGTTAGACCGGTTTAAAGCAAATAATTTCCATAGAGTGCAACATGTTCTGTAAAGGACAGGGTACAAAGAGGTAAAGGACAAGTTACAGTGAGAACACAAAGGTGAGAACAGTCAACTTCATGTGGAATTGTCTCAGGTCTCAGGCAAGCCGTCACCGAGGAAGTGCCCCCTGAGCTGGCTCTTGAAGGATTATTTTGCCAGACAGACAAGATAAGGGAGAGAAGGGAATTCCAGGCAAAGGTAGCCGGTTGTATAAAGGCAAGGTGATGCTGAGGATTCTGGTGTGTTCTAGGGCACTGCAGCTTGCTCTGTTTGGCTAGACAGAGGCAGAGTCACTGTGAAGCTAATGAGGCTTCAGCTCCAGGGCTGTCACAAGCACAGGACTCTTGCAAGGCCCTGTGATGGATTTTTAGTCATCATGTTGTATTATTTTTCTTGGAGAGTCCTTCAAATTGTATAAACATGAGGCCTGGAGAAACCTGATCTGCCCCTGGGCTAGCACTTGGAGCAAGCCGGGGGAAAGGAGGGGGAAATGAGCTTGAACAGGTAAGCAGGAGCCAGATCACGGAGGAATTTATAGAATGTGCAAATATTGGAAGCATTGGAAGGTTTCGAGAAGTCAAATGATGTAGTCTGGCCTTTGAAGAAGGAACTTTGGTAAGACTGGAGATAGAAGAGCAAGAAGACCAATGAGGAGGCTATTGGGCCAATTAGATTAAGGTGAGAGGGGAAAATAGGTGCTGAGACAGGGAAGAGGAGACCAATTTGATAAATATTGACTAGGTAAAATTCAATAGGACTTGGTAGAGACTTGGTGTGGGGTTGTGAAGGCACAGGAAGACTCTAGAATGAGGCCCACATTTTTGGCTTTGAAGAGTGGACATTGGGTGGTGGCATTCAGTAAGAGAGGTAATATGAGAGAACCAAGTTTTAAATAAGCTCTGTTGTGGACATGTTGCGTTTGATCTGTCTGTGGAATACTGAGACATGTGCTGACCTTCGGCCGTAGGCAGTTGAATATGCGGAGCAGGAGATCAGAAGATGGTCTAGGCTGGAAATACAGATTTCATTTATTGAAGGTAAAGGGGATATGTTCCTATGGTGAACACACGTGGGATCACCCAGGGATCAGAGTAGAGTGAGAAGAATGCTGGGCTAAAGACAAAAACTTCAAGCTGCTCTATCAGCAGATGGAGGAAAAGACATTCTGAAAAGGGACGGAACAGAAATATGCAGAGAGGGAGGAAGGGGAGCCAGGAGCGACTATGAGCATCTAAGATCGTGCGTGAGGGGCAGAGTGAGGCTGAGATGAGGATGTGATGAGGGCTGAGGTCAGGAGTGAGTGGGGGTCAGGCAGCATCTGCATTTAACCAAGAAGTCCATGGTTATCACACATGCTCGTCTCAGAAAGGGCCATTCATCACTTGGAGCCAAGTGTCTGCTCATCATTTGAGGATTCTCTTGCTATTTAGATGGACTGTATGTCAAATTCTTTTATTTTTACTTCCTTATAATGGGGGAAATATATGTAGCTTCTTAATAATTGAACTGAATTCTGTTTTCTATTTGACATTCTGGAAGGACACCTCGAGCTTTTCATAGGCTTGCTTATTGAAGTGCTAATCTTCTTTGGTTGAGTATAAATTAGACCCCGGAGAATGGGGATGTTTGGACCACAGGGTGAGTGCTTAATCTCAGCTGCAGGTTGTTCAGGAAGTACTCAGTTCAGTTTCTCACAGTTCAGAGAGATTCAGCATCTCTAACATTGGCCAAGGCCTCCATTACGATGGCTTGGGAGGACTGAACTGATACTGCCCCTTAGAGGCGAACCTACTTCTGTTATATTTTTAAAATGTTCTTATTGTTTTTTTTTTTCCTGATTATAAATATGACACATAGTCATAGAAAAATCAAATAAGTAGAAATGAATGGGGCTGGGGAACAGCAGTAAAGTAAGTCTCAGGGAGCTGTAATAAAAGGCAGTGTTTTCTACATGCTGTCAGGGCCATTTCAGCACAGATGTCAATGCCTCTGTATTGAAACAGGGAATCAGAATGCCCTGCTTTACCAGGGCACATGCATAAACTGGGAAGAGCAGTGAATAAACCCTGATCCTGCAGAAAGTTACCATTCATTGAAAGGATGCTAGAGAAAAAGGAACCCAAGGGGGAGACTCTGGAGAGGACAGTACTTTGGAACTCAGGCTTTGGTCTCAGACAGACCTGGTTCCAAACCCATCTTGCCATTTTTTAGCCTATGGATCTTGGACAAGGTACTTTAAATTCTCTGGGCCCCAATTTTCTCACCTGTCAAGTGGGGATGATGATGAGGTGTGGTGAAACTCACTGGGTATGTATGACATGAGAAATGCTTAAACAATGCCTGGCACAGAGTGCCTACCTTGTAATAAACCAAAGTTATTATTTTTTTGGATAGAGCGATAGTTTATTAGAGGATAGAAAAGCTTCCAATAAAATGGAAAGAGTCCCAGACAGGTTGCCCCCGAAGTTATTATTATGATCATTATTTTTATTAATAGAAAAATGGAGAGAGTTGTATCATGTGGCATATGAGAGGGAATGAAAAATGGCGTCTAGGAAGAGAAGAACTGGAAGGTTTGGTGACATGAATGTTAATAATAAGTTTAGGAATAATAATTCCAGGGGAATTGTGGGTAGAAACCAGAATGTCATGATTGCTGAGAATGGATGGTGAGGACATAAAGGTTCAGAATAGTAAAAAGAGCAAAGGGATAGAAAAGCGAATCCAAGACCAGATCATGCTTTTCTGGAAACTCAGTACATATAAGTCAGCAGGGAAAGAATGGACTATTCAAGAAATGATGCTGGGAAAATAGGCCATCCATTTAGGAAGAAAATAAAATGAGACCTTCCACATAAACACCACTCACAAAAATAGATTCCCATTGGACTAAAAACAAATTCTAAAAATATAAGGAGACAATATCAGAGAACATTTTTGTAACTTTGGAAGTAGAGAAAGCTTTTCTAGTCATGACACAGAATTCAAAAGCCATAGAAGAAAAGACTGACAGATTTAAAATCGCTAAAATAAAAAACCTTGGTATATTGAAAGAGACCATAAACAAAAGTAAAACAAGCTACAGATGGGGAGAGGATACTTGCAGCCTATATAACAGACAAAGGATTCTTCTAAATTGTAAAAAGAGCCTCTACAACTCAATGAGAAATAAACAGATAATTGACAAAAGGGGAAATACAAATGGCCCGTCAACATGAGAAAAATGATGCTCATTCAACTTCCCCAGTAATTAGGGGAAGTAGAAAATGAAACAATGAAATATCTTTTATCCACGAGCCTTGCCAAAAATAAAGGATGTTATAGATACTAACACGAGGTGATTTCATTCATGGTAGTGGGAATGTAAATTGATACAGACTTTTTTGGACAGCAAATTTGGCAGTATCTGTTAAAGTTTAAAATGTGAATAATTTATGTCTGACCCAGCAGTTCCACTTTTAAGTATACAGCCTTGGGAAACAACTGCACATATTCATGAGAAGCATACAAAATGGATATTCACTGCTGCATTGGTTATCAAATAAACAAATTTAAACAGTTTAAATTTCCATCAATAAAGCAATTGAATAAACTGTGGTACAACCATACCATGGAATTGTGTTTGGCAGTTTAAAAGCATGAGGTAGATCAGTATGTCTTCATATGGATAGATCTCCTGGACATGTTGTTAAGTGAAAAAAAGAAGTTGCACAGTGATAACACAGATCACGATGTCACTTGTGTAAGTCTGCTCTCCTTTCCCTGATAAAGCAACAAATGTTGCTCTTTATTTATGTATGTAATGCAGAGGAAAAGGTGTGGAAAGTCAGTCAACACCCTGAAAATAACAGTTACCTCTGAGGGAGGGAGGGGAACACATGTATTACTTGCATGGCTGGACGAGGTGGCTCACGCCTGTAATCCTAGCACTCTGGGAGGCCAAGATAGGTGGATTGCTGGAGCTCAGGAGTTCGAGACCAGCCTGAGCAAGAGTGAGACCTCCCATCTCTACTAAAAACTGAGGTCAAGAGGATCACAGATTGCTCTGAGCTGTGACACCATGATACTCTACCAAAGGCGACAAAGCAAGACTCGGTCTCAAAAAATAAAATATAAAAAACAAAAATAAATAAAAAAGAATGAAGTTTTCTTTTCTTTCTTTTTTTTTTTTTTCAGTATATATAAGTCAGCAGGGAAAGAATGGACTATTCAAGAAATGATGCTGGGAAAATAGGCCATCCATTTAGGAAGAAAATACAATGAGATTGGGCTATTTTTTTTTTAATTTTTTGGTTGTAGTTGTCATTATTGTTTGGCAGGCCCAGGCTGGATTTGAACCCGTCAGCTCCAGTGTGTGTGGCTGGCTCCCTAGCCGCTGAGCTACAGGTGCCAAGCCATGACATTTTCTTAAAAGAAAGCACATAAATTGAGTGTAGACTGCTTATTTAAAAAGCTTATCTGGCAGCGCCTGTAGCTCCTTGGGTAGGGTGCCGGCCACATACACCAAGGATGGTGGGTTCGAGCC